TGACAGAGGTGTTTTGTACAGGAAAACCACAAACAGAACACAACTGGTACTCCCTGAAAAGCACAGGCCAATGGTGTTAAAGGAACTGCACGATGAGGTGTGCCACCATGGTGCAGAAAGGACTGTTCCTTCATGCAAAACGAAATAGAGGACTATGTCATGAGAAAATGTTTGTGCCTTAAAAGCAAAAGACCGAGCCGTGAGACGAGAGCCCCGCTCACTAACATAGTCATGACTCAGCCTTTGGAACTGGTCTCAGTTGAGGGGGTTACACATACATTCTTGTTATTGTTGACCATTTGACACGCTTGGCCCAGGCTTATGCCACCACGTCCAAGTCTGGTAAAACCGCTGCAGACAAAATCTTGACTATGCTTTAAAGTTTGGGTTCCCACTAGGGGTGGGCGATATATCGATATTTTAAATATATCGAGATAGTTTTTAAACTCGATATGAATTCTGACATATCGTATATATCGATATAATGCTTATATTCAATTTTGATTGCGCCGCTTCGCTTGTTTACCTTCTTTGTCGTCGCCTCCGCGCGCGCCCGCCTCCCTGATTTTTGTTCGCTCGTGTCTCCTTCACTCGTCACTATCGCCCTGAACGCCGAAAGTTGGTGCCAGTGAAAAGCTTCAAGCACTACGAACCTTTTCCACCATTTACAGACAGACAAAACCATCAGCAGCACATCCTCATATTCCACCGAGTCACGTCCTTTAGCCCGAAAGAAGCTAAACGAGCTGAGCTGCATGAGAAGTGCTGTTTATGCAAATGAGTCATGAGCTTAAGTTTCATTTCTGTAAAATCTAAACACACGTGCGCAAAACTGCATTAAACACATTATTATCTCAAACAGGCTGATGTGACTCTATAGTCGTTATGCTTCATATATTGTAAAGTTTAGTAATGTAAAGTTTATTTATGCAGAAGATTTTAATGAATAATCTGCTGCAGTGTCACTTGTACAATAGTGTTTGGAAACGTTGGGTTTGATCTGCAGTGGATTGTGGGATTAAACCTCAGAGCTCCTTACTGCTGGATCATAACATGGATCTGTTAAAATAAGGAACATTCTGAGCTTCTTCTGCTAAAGGAGCTCATGGTTCTGGTTCTGGTTTGGATAACAGAGTTAATGCAAAGATGAGCTTGTGTTGAGTTGTTTTATTTATGAATGAAAAGAAGGAAATATGTTTTATTTCTTTTATTTTACAGTTAAATTATTATTTATGTAATTAGGGTTTTTTGTCATCTTAAATGTTCCTATATGAACTGCCGACCTCTTACACTATCATTAAAAAAAAAAAAAAGACCTTGTGGAATTGGCAGATTTGTTTTTGCAGGTTTCAGTTTTAGGGGGTTATTTTTTCTTGTACATATATCGAGATCGCCCAGCCCTATTCATTAATATGTGCTGTCCCTTTACAAATAAATAAATAAATAAGGAAAAAATAAAACATGCTGCCTGAGCAAGGCTATGGCTCGTTTTGGATCTATGTGGGTAAAGCCTTGCGCGCTCTACCGTGGCACAGGCAAATGTTTGATTTGATTGTGTTTGGACACATGTGTTAGACTCTTTCAAAGTTGGTTAAATGATGAGACCTTGGTGACATGTGATGCTCGTGTGAGTAAATGTGCACAGTTCCATTTAGGCTATAGTCTACTGTTAGGCCTAAATATATGTACAGAATACTCGACTACGCTGTAAATAATTACATTAATGACTCAAAAGAAAAAAAAACATTAAATGTGCATAGGCCTATTAGTCCCCAAACAACAAGGACTACAATGTTATCGTCATTTTAAAAGTGTTTTGGTTTGGTCTGTGGCGTCCTATGTGACATGTTGTATTACATGTTGTAAAACATTGTTCAATCCAATATTCCATAACTGTTACCTATAGCAACCACGGTGTTAACAGGGCCAAAACTTGTCTAAATTGCACAATAGTTATGCTTAGAGTCCAAAACAGAAACGCCAACACCTTTTTTTTAGTAAAATAGAGGTCGAAGGCCTCTCTAGCATTTAAATGGTCCCTTGGGAATATTTTGGTTAGCATCATGACTCAATCAGAAGGACAGTAGCAGGGGTTTAAATAGACGTCGTGATTCTTTCCTTTTCCGTGGACACAGAGATATGGTGGGTTGTGTACACTGGTGAGAGTTGACACTTGAGAGTCGCAGTGTGGCCACACTGTGGCATGGAGCCGGATCCGTACGGTTTCGGGCTCTCACCAGAGGTCAGACCTGCACATCGTCCCGGGCCTGATCACCCTGAGTGTCCACTACTTTTGGCTTTCAAATACATTTTTGGCTTCAGCCCTCGCCTCAATGCCGAGGTCGCAGGTTCGAGCCCCGGGCAGCCCCAAGATATTCCTGTATAGGGTTGTCCTCCTTTTGGGACCCATTCACTATGAGAATAAGCGACGCCTTCGTTGTTAAACAGTTGGCGTACAAAGACGATACCCTGGTCAACCCCCTTATTATTATTATTTTTTTTTCTTTAGGAAAAGTGTTTTGTGCTTAAAGCATTAATCCTTGTTATTCCAGATGTATTACTCATGTGGTGAGAAGTCGTGCTTATACACTATAGACCAACATAACAGTAACTGTTTGTGAAAGTTAGAAAGTTTCATTGGAAGCCTATCGATGCTATAATTACATCTCAGAATAAAGTTTAAACCTCCTAATGCTTCAAATATGTGTGCTGAAATGAAGTTCACACAACACACTCACTGTACACACACTAAACACACAACACACTCACTGTACACACTCACTATACACACAACACACTCACTGTACACACACTAAACACACAACACACTCACTGTACACACAACACACTCACTGTACACACAACACACTCACTGTACACACAACACACTCACTGTACACACTCACTGTACACACAACACACTCACTGTACACACTCACTATATACACAACAGACTCACTGTACACACTCACTGTACACACAACACACTCACTGTACACACTCACTGTACACACAACACACTCAATATACACACAACACACTCAATATACACACAACACACTCACTGTACACACTCACTGTACACACAACACACTCACTGTACACACAACTCACTCAATATACACACAACACACTCAGTGTACACACAACACACTCACTATACACATACTATACACACAACATACTCACGATACACACAACACACTCAGTGTACACACACTATACACACAACACACTCAGTGTACACACAACACACTCAGTGTACACACACTATACACACAACACACTCACTATACACACAACACACTCAGTGTACACACACTATACACACAACACACTCACTATACACACAACACACTCACTGTACACACAACACACTCAGTGTACACACACTATACCCACAACACACTCAGTGTACACACAACACACTCAATATACACACAACACACTCAGTGTACACACAACACACTCAGTGTACACACAACACACTCAATATACACACAACACACTCAGTGTACACACAACACACTCAGTGTACACACAACACACTCAGTGTGCACACAAAAACGATTGAGAGAGAAGCTGCCTCCCACATTTAAACCGCGGCACAATGGAGAGCATCAACATGTATTGTACTGTGTGTTTTGCTTGTTAAATCATAATGTTTGTGTACATTAGAGTCTTGGTTCTCCTGGGGCCCTGTCTCATATTAAATACATTATATTGTACTGATTGTGGGGCCCCCAGGGAGGTTTTAAAAACATTTTTAGTAAAATCCGGGATTCCCACTCTTTTTCACTGACCAAATTTTAAAACTTTTTCATGAGTGAATTTTCCATGTCTTTACAGCAACTACACGTGTAGAATTGATCAGACTTTTAAATATTCAATGTTAACCCTTTAAACTCACTTTATGGTTTGGGATTATAGTTTTTGAATATTAAAAATCCTGTCAGTGCATTGTTTGTCGTCTCTTTTAAACAAAAGACGCAGATGTTCAAAAATAATCAGAATAGTTGATCATGATAACAGATAACCCAGTGTCCTGTCAATCATCACATCATTGTTCCACTGTCTTCCTGTGACCTCTTGTATAAAGCTGTGATGTTTATATTTTATTACCTATCTTTCTATTTTATTTTATATTTTTATATTTTATTCATTACTTATCCTTCTATTTTTATATTCTATTACTTATCTTTCAATTTTATTTTGACTTGTACATTTACATTTATATAATTATACACCTATTTCTTGCTATTTTTTGCTACTTATTTAGAATTTATTATTATCATTTATATTTTTTTCTCTTTGTTATTATATTATATTTGTGATGTGTGACTCCTGTGTCCAAATCATTTCCCTTGTGGACAGTGTTGGGGAGTAACAGATTACTTGTACTGGGATTACGTAATCAGAGTACAAATGATGAGTAACTGTATTCAGTTACAGTTACTGTTTCAATGAGAGGTAATTGGATTACAGTTACTTTGTTGAAATAAATGGATTACAGGGCAGTATTTTCCTGTTTTCACATTTTGGGCTAAACCAGGACTAAACCAGGTCTAAACCAGGACTAAACCAGGACTAAACCAGGTCTAAAAGCAGGATTAAACCAGGACTAAAACCAGGACTAAACCAGGATTAAACCAGGACTAAACAATATGACACTAACAGTAGGTGGACATAATTGAAGGCAGCAGTGATCTCATATAAAAATCATTTCTCTATCAGGATGTGTTTGCTACATTCATGTCGTTTTAAAAAACATGACAATATCAAGTAATCCAAAGTATTCAGATTACATTACTCACTTTAAGTAATTTAATGGATTATGTTACAAACTACATTTTGGGGTATGTAATCTGTAATCTGTAGGGGAATACATTTTAAAAGGAACCTTCCCAACACTGGTCACAGGCACTTATACTTTTTTGTTTTTTGAGGAGTGAATAGTGTAGATGTAGTTGTGCTGGGACAGACAGACAAGTGAACAAACAAAGTATTAAATGATCTTTTAATCATAAATTCAGGTATGTACAAATCTAACATTTGTTTGTCATTGTATTTCAAAGTGATGAAATGTGACAGTGGCAGTACAAAGTGCATTCATTCCAAACGTGTGATTGTGATTGGACGCACTGTCACCCGCTCAGACACGATCACACAAATCACACCGCTCGCTCCTCCTCATCATAAACTGTACATTACTTTTATCATTCATAAATATTCAACTTTCATTGTGTGTAAAACATTTCACAAGAAAAATTACAAAGTGGGAAAACCCTACGATTAAACTGAGAAATCATCTTTTTAACACTGTTTCACCGAAAAACTGTTGGGCGCTCGCGGGGGTTCGGGCCGTGACGGGGGGAGCCTGGAGGTCCGGGCGCTCGCGGGGGTTCGGGTGGTGCGTTCGCGGGGGTTCAGGTGGTGACGGGGGAGCCTGGAGGTCCGGGCGCTCGCGGGGGTTCGGGTGGTGCGTTCGCGGGGGTTCAGGTGGTGACGGGGGAGCCTGGAGGTCCGGGCGCTCGCTGGGGTTCAGGGGGTTCGGGCGGTGACGGGGGGAGCCTGGAGGTCCGGGCGCTCGCGGGGGTTCGGGTGGTGACGGGGGGAGACTGGAGGTCCGGGCGCTCGCGGAGGTTCAGGTGGTAACTGGGCGGGGTTTATAAGTTGCTGAAGACTTCTTTTCTCTTGTTCCAGTCCATGCGCGGGGCGTTCTTGGACATTCTCTTCTGGTGCGCTCGTTCTCTGGCCTGAGCTACAGACAGACCCAACCCCAGAGTGTCGCTCTCTGGCTCCTCCTGCTGGACAAAATGAGACACATCATTCACAATGTTTTAGAAATCAGATTTAAAGTCTGTGAATTTACCTTGTGGATATTTTATAACAAAATACAACAACATCAATTGCTGTGAAGGAGCAAAAGTTAGCTCTAGTTAGCTCTAAAAATGTAAGAACGATAGGTACTATTACTATTACTATTACTACTAGATACTATTACTATTACCTATCTGACTATTAAGACCATATGCACAGTTTACCTTGCAAAAAAAAAGTAGATTTAGTGTTTTGTGTTCCAATTTAAAGAGTCTATATTACACTATTTCCTGTTCTTCGTCATCACAAACAGACTTAGAGTTGTGTTTTGTTTCATTCACACATGCAGAGATGAGTTCCTGACGCAAACTGAAAACACTGTTCCACCTTGTGATGTCATGTGGTAATACAGGAAGTACTCAACTGTGTTTTACACCTTCACTTGAATCGTTTGGATGATTTCTGACCTGGAATTGTCAAGTTCTACTCAACTAAAAGCAAAAGGAGCTGTTAACTTGAAAACTACAGCTTCATGACATCACAAGGTGGCACAGAACATTTTGAGCTTTGGAGATGTAGATGTAGATGTAGAGTAATCATAAAGTGTTACTCAAACATGTGTGAATGAAACAAAACACAACTACAGGTCTGTTTTAGAGGAGGGAACAACATAACACTAGAGGTGTGCAAAAATATCAAAATATTGATATATATCGTATCGTTTAATGTGATGATACAGTATCAGTATCGTGGGCTGTTGTATTGATATATCACCAAGAGTATTTTTTGGTCTATTTTACTCAATGATTTTGTTACAGCACTAGTTTTTTTGTTGTTTGTTTAGTGGAAGGAAACTCGTTTATGAGACACATTTGACATTTTCACTGTTTTGATTAAAATGTTTGTGTTTCATGTGAACTTTGCACAAAAACTGGTTTAACAAAGACTTTTAGTATCACAGACATGATTTAACCTTTATTTTTACTGAACCGTATTGAACCAAAAGTTGTATAATTGCCTGTGTATTGAGGCATGTATCATATCTGCAACTTCTTAATGATTCCCAGCCCTACATAATCACTGTTGGACAAGTGACTTTCAAACTGTAATGTGTTATTTATGACTTGTTTCTGTCATTTCAAAGTCATTTGTTACATTACAATATTACTGTATTTAAAATGTAAGACATTACATTACTATTGCAGCACTTTTAAGCTATTCTCACCAAAAGAACTGTGAAGATGCTGAACCAGGTCTAAACCAGGACTAAACCAGGTCTAAACCAGGACTGAAACAGGACTAAACCAGGACTAAACCAGAAGTGAACCAGAACTAAACCAGGACCAAACCAGGACTAATCTTGGAATAGAACTTGGAATCTAGGACTGCCCGTGGAACAGCGTGTCTGCGCGGTGCGATCGGGCGTCATCTGTGGTTCGCCCCGTGGAGTGTGGAGTTCTGCATTGGTCCTTTTCGCCCACGGACACCCGACGGTCTACGCGGGTGCACCTCTGACATTTCACCGCTGCTGATATTGCAGTGATTTTAGTGACTTTGTATGAAGAAAAACGAAAAACCCACCACTTCAATCCAGGTTAAAAAAGCATTGTAACACGCCTCACTGACATTTGTGCTGAGTAAAATTATTATTTTTTTCCCTGTGATGGCGTAACATTACTGCGTTACAGCAAAAAGCAATGCATCACAGTAATTTGTTACTTTTATAAGAGGTTACTCCCAAGTCAATTCTGTGTACTACAGGACCTTGAAATACCTAATTGGAAATCACAAACACAAGAATGAAACTGCTGGTCTAAGTGTGCTGAAAGTTGATCTATGCTCCTGTTGTGTGTTGTGTATCCTGCAGAGTGAAGAGTGGCGTCTCACCGTTGGGGTGGCGCCCGGGCTGGGCTGAGGCGAGTGTGAAGAGGCGCTGGACTCAGAGCTCACGGAGGTCTTAGCTTTACGCTCCTCTGCTGCCGCTGGCTGCTGTTCACAAACACACAAACAGGAGGGACATGTCAGAATCCAACACACAAGTCTGTACTGTTTATTTTGGAAATGATTTGGAGGTGTCAAAATGACACAGATTGGACATTTTTTGCTTCATAAATCAAGAACTGTGTGTAAGATTCAAGATCAAACATAGTTTTTAACAATTGTAATGCTGATTTATTCGTAATTACAAAAACCTTGGACATGAGTCAGTGCTAGTGCAGCCTCTGCAGCTCAGGGAGGGAATTCTGCAGGTTCTGCAGGTTCACCTGAGGCCTGAACATAAACTGAGAATGTGTCGTCTGTTTGCAGGTTAAGACTCTGGTGACTCAGGTTCAGTTGAGTTCAGTTCATTGATTGAAATGAAATGTATTTAAACAAAAATAAAACAGAGTGCAGGTCACATCCAGCCTCTTTAGGTGAATACATTTGGAGAAAACAGCATTTGAAGTTACTGTTGGAGCTACTTGCTTCTTTTGTTGATTTTAAAATAAGTTATTATTTTTGTTTGTTAATTATCTTACCAATTCAGTTTTGTTCATTTGTTATGTTAATGTTATGTTTACTCATTTCATAGTCTAAGCTGGTATTATTTATGTTAGCACCTTTTTTGTTTTTGGTTTAATCTGGGTCACCTCGGGGACATGTAGACCAGAGTGACCTGGGTGGGCCTATGGTTTTTTCCCAGTCGAGTGGAGACACAGCAGGAGTCACCTTTAACATGTGTCCCTTGTTTCTTGCCAAAACTGGAAATAAATCTCAGAAACTCAGCTCTGGTCATGGACATTGATTTATAATTTTGTTACTGCGTAAACCACATACTCATGGTGCCTAAAAGTGATTATATGAGTTAGGTTTAGTTCTGAGTTTGCCACAAATAAAGCAGATTCAGTAAAATAAGAAAACATGTGTAGGTGTAGACTGGAGCGTTTATTTGTGTCCAGGTGGAAGTCTTTATGCTGTTATGTTGTGTTAACTTTGGGAGTGTCTCATTCAGCAGCGCAGTAATAGCAGCTCTGTGTCCAGCAGAGGGCGCTGTGGGACAGAGCGGGAGGTCACGCTCTTATCTGCTCTGCTGGATTAAACAAAAAGACTCATGTGTGGAGCTCTGTACACATATTATCCTTTTGAAACTCCTCCATAATATAATGTAAAGTATTTAATAAGTAAATTCAACAATTGATTTGAACATGTTTGCTTCAGAATTTTTTCTTTTACTGTTTACTTTGCATGTTCATAAACAAAAAACTTGAGTGCCTTCTTCATCACTGTTATTAGTTTGTACAACCATAACAAACACAAAAACTCCTCAAATTTTACATTCTCATTGTTGTTTATTTTAGTACAATGATGGATGATAAACTCTGGGTCTTTCTTATTATTGTTAGTTTGTACGACCATAAACAAAGATATATTTCTGTGTGTATGTACTGTATATCATAGATGCGTATGTGTATGTATGTACATGTGTGTGTACATATTTGTGTGTGTGTGTGTATACATATATATGCATTTGTATACATATATGTGTATATTTACGAAATGCGTACGACAGGTAAACACTCCAAAGGTGGGAAAAAAATAATAAATTGCCAACCATTTATTTATGTAAAATAATTGGGGTAGGACATTTTTTTTAAACGTATAATGTTTTTTTTTCCCCCCATCTTACTCCTTTTGAGCACCGGGTCCCAAATATGTACATGTACATATCCTTGTTTTTTATTTATTTATTTATTTATTTATTTTTTACGTATTTATTTATTTATTTATTTTTGTTAGTGTTGTTCTGTTTTACCTTGCTCAAATAAATAATTATTAAAAAAAAAAAAAAAAAAAAAAGCAAAAAACACACAGACTGTATAACACTAGTCAAATGAAGCTCATCGAGGCTGGCACTTATAGTGTAGACATTGGAGCCAAGTTCCATATTTGGAATTACGATCATGAATATCACAGCAACCAAACAGCCAATCGAGAGCAAGGATGTTGTAGGTAATGTCACTTCCTGTCTGCACTGCAGGTTCAGCAGGGAGTGGACGCTTAGCAACGCTGTCAATCAAACCTGTCGCTAATGTTAGCAGGAGCGAAGTTGGGGAAAGAAGAGCCTGATTTGTCTTTTTTTAATGTTTATATTTTGATTTATGGACAAAATAGCGAACCCAGGATCATGTAGAGTCTGTTAATATGAACATTTAAAGATCAAAATGAGGAGTGTGACAGCAGCAGTCACAGAGAGAGGGGCCACGTTTTTTCAATACAAAGTGAACTGGGACCAGAGTTGATGGAGCCGGATGCTCCCCCATGCTCACTTCCCATTTGGAATGTGGTGGCTAGCGGCTTAAGTTTCGTTCACACTGCAGCCTAAAGTGACCCAAATCTGATTTTTTGGACCCTATGTGACCTGTATCTGATCTTTTAATGACGATTTTTTCAAATGTGACCCAGGCCACTTGGATATGTGCTCCTGAAACCGATACATATCTGATCTTTTGACATGTGACTTCAATGTGAACAACCAAGGCACATTCATCCACCTACATGTTATCAACAAGTGACAAATGTACACAAACGTTCTTCTAGTCATATGAAAATTGTTAATGAACTCCGTGCCACTGAAGTGAAGCACATCACCACTCACCACTCTTGGCTCCGTCTCCACATCCACACGTTCCTTTCAACAGACTGTCCCACAAAACACCACGGCCAAAAACCTCGTCCTTCTCCTTCTCAATCTCCTCTTTAAAACAAGTAAGTTGTTCATGTTCTGGCTCCGGTACAAGAGGAACTTTAAAATCTCCAGGTGCTCAATGCTGCTTCCATGTTTGGACAACTTCTGTAAACACAGAGCACGCTCGCTGTGGTTGACGTCGTCGTGTCTCCAGTGCTCATGTGGGACACTTTCGGGCCGTTTAACGTTCACACTGGAGTCACATACAAGTCGCATTTGATTGGAAATGTGAACGACCTCGCAAAAACATTGGATTTCACACAAAAAATCCGAATTGAGCGTTAAGTTATGTCCTTTTATATATTTATTCCACAGTCTGATCAGTAGTGTGGTCAGTTTTGTATTATCTCCAGTGAGGTGTTATTGCTCTGCATGGAATATTCCACTGAATGGCAATAAACATATCTACCTTTATCAAGCTATCATTTATTTTATTACAGGTTTCTGGTCTAGTACATGTTTAAACTAGGCCGATAAGTTACACAGAGCATCTTTAAAGTTTCTACATAACACAACATTGACTTGTGAGCTTTAACATATATTACCTCCTCAAAAACATGTGTGGAGCTGTGTTTTGTTTCATTCACACATGTTTAAGTAATCCTTTATTATTAGTCTGTCTACATCTCCAAAGCTCTAGACCAGGAGTGTTCACACTTTTTCACCATGTGAGCTACTTACAAAATGACCAAGTCATAAAGATCTACCTAATACAAAGCCAAACAAACTGCACTGAAACACTCTGTGTCCCTTTTTTGGACCCTCCCCCACAGTTTGAGAACCCCTTCTTTAAGAGAACTTCCTCTGTCACTTTACACAAAACTGTGAAAAAAGTGAAGGAAGATTTTTAAACCTGTTTTTTAAAGTTCCAAACTGGAGTTTCATTCTTTTCTGGTTTTGCAGTGATATTTACCAGCCTCTGCACATTTACCAAACCAAACACACATCGTGACAAACACAGATGCATTTGTGCACTTTTGTTAAACAAACTTCAGCCAAATGTGGCAGTAGGTCTGTTCTGTAGATCTGCTCTATGCTGTAGACCTGCTTTGTGTCAACACTGTAACACAAATTTAGACTTGTTTTAGCTTCACGTTTGGTCTTGCTCTTCTAATCAGCGCACACTGTGGGAGGGGCTTGTGTTGGCTGTACGCAGGAAGGAGCGAGAGCGTGAAAAGGCGAGGGGCGGCGTGCTGACGTGAGGCAGATGGACAGGTAGGATGTTTAGGAAGTTGAACCTGCCCTGTGATGCACGCTGGTACACGAGGGCACACGCTGTCGCAGACGAGTCGTGCATAGGGAGCGTGTGTGTTTGTGATGTGCCGTAGAGCCTCCGCGGGTTTCAAATGAGCGCACAGGCTGCACTGAGACGCCCCACACGCTCCTGCACCCCACTACAAGTTCATTGCCAACAGCAGCGGCCGTAATGAAATATGATCACACTTGTTGAGTGTCAGACCTCGAGTGAGAGACAAGACCGAGTCCAAACACGAGTCCGAGACGAGACACGGTGATCTACCCACACGACCTTGGTGATTAACTGGTAGATCGCGATCGACGTATTGCGCACCCCTGATCTAAATGCTCTATACCACCTTGTGATGTCATGGAGTATTAATTTTCAAGTGAACAGTTCCTTTTACTTTTAGTTCAGCAGAGATTGGAAATTTCATGGCTGAATTTATCCAAATGATTCTAGAGAAGGTGTGTAGAGTTTAAAAAGCACTTCCTGTATTACCACATGACATCACAAGGTGGAACAGAGTGTTTTCTCCTTAAGAGCCTCAGTCTAAATGTGCAGGTTTGTGTGTTAAACATGTGTGAATGAAACAAAACACAACTCCACGTCTGTTTGTGATGAGGAAACGACATTAGTGTGACGGGCCCTTTCATTGAGTAGCCTGTTGTTTTCTCTTCAGTGTTGAATAGTTCTTCTCTTTCTGTGTTGTTTTTGTTGTGTTTATTACTCGAGTAAGTCTTCCTGAAGCATTATTAGACTCAGTTTCAGCGTGTGCGTTCGTCCAGTATATAAGCTCATCTCTCCAAAATCCTCTTACAGCTCTTTGTTTACCGACCTCCTCTCTTATTTCACATCAGCGCACCGCCCGCTTCTAATTTTACCCAATCACGTCTCTTATTATGTACACACATGAGGGGTCAGGGGTCACGTGCCGCTTACGTAACACCGGTCCCCTGAAAGAGGCATTGTTTTTGCGCGGCGCTCTCTTGCCAGCACGTTTCGTCAGCGCCGCATTTGCATAAT